TGTTATGAATGCATGTCTCTTTAATCCGACAAATTAAGTTCGGTAGACTATCAATACAGCTTTCAGGTTAGACACTTCTTTTATTGTTTTCACATATGCATTTCAGGCTTATATAAATGCTAAGCCCCTCTTCAGTGCAATAATATGGTTCTGTCTTCTAAAAACTCTTCCCAATGTTGTACGTTATACACCGTGGTTTCAGAAGACAGAACCATATTATTGCACTGAAGAGGGGCTTAGCATTTATATAAGCCTGAAATGCATATGTTAAAACAATAAAAGAAGTGTCTAACCTGAAAGCTGTATTGATAGTCTACCGAACTTAATTTGTCGGATTAAAGAGACATGCATTCATAAAATAATTTATTCTGTTAAAGCAAGTTACTTTACATAAAACTAGAAAAATTCACCAATTTAATAAATATTTAAAAAATTAATACTTGAGAATATTTAACATTTTTAAAACTTGTAAAATAAATTTTATAACATTTTTATTTATAATATTAATAAGAAATTATTAATATAATCTGTATTATTCACATGCAAAAGGGTTACTAATTATAGGAGTTATCTAATCTATAAATTAAAAAACAAAGTAAAATGTAGGTAGAATATTATGGAAAACATTATCATTTTAATAATGTGGTTTGAATTGAATTGAAAATAAAAATTGTCAACAGTAAATAAATGAATAAAGTAATTTATATGCATAACAAACATTCAAGGTTGTGTATATATTAAAAAATATAAGTTATTAAAGATTTTAAACGAGTATTTAACCTTACATTTATTCGAATTAAGTACTTACATTTCCAATAATATATCCTTGCATAAAAAATATAAAATAATAAACATTTTTTCCAATCTTCTAATCACGTTGCTACCATGGCCACGTTTCTTCGGATATCGACATTTTGAGAAACAAAATTGTCAAAACAAATATTTCAAAATATTCAAAATTAATATATATATTTTTAAATGTTATAATAATATTACTAGAGTTATTCAAATAAATAATTTATATATTAAAAATTTTATACTTTAATTTAAAAGTTTTTTTTAAAAAATTATTAGAAACATATTTAATACGTTTTACGTTTCTTTAAATATTTTTTTTCTATCTGTATTAAATAATAAATAAAATAAAAATGTTTCGTTTAATAATATAATTGATTGATTTTTTTAATTAATAAAGGAGCAATGACAAGATTTTCTTCGATTACTGGTAGCGGGTTTACTCCTAACGAACGGGCTGGCCACGTGGAGTTTTTAGGGTTTATCTAACTATGGGCCAGTTTCCATAGAAGTCTTCCTAGTAGGCATCTATTAACAAAATGCCCACAATGGGGCGGCCGATTGGTGGGGGACTGGGTCTGACATATCCGGACGGACCGAAAAATTCCTGAAGATTTTTCGACCCGTCCGGATTCGATCCCGGGTCCCCCAGAACGGTAATTTTAAAAGGTGGTATTATAATGATAAAGTATGCAGAATTAAGGAAATAGTTAATGTTTTACGTCATTGATAATATATTGGATGCCCATAAATTAAGTAACGCGGATGTAATCGTTACAATGCGTTACAAGCTGGTTGGAGTGTCTGCAAAAACCTTTACTTAATTAATGCAAGGGCCTCGCCCCACGGATAACGCAACGATGCATTTTTGTTTCCGAAATGTTACATAGCAAACATAACGTACCATTTATGTCATCGCTTCGTACATTATACCTAATGGTTTATTTGAAAACTTCATTAAATTATATTTAATGAAGTTTGCAAATAAATCATTAGCATTCAGATTACTCACAATGAGTTTTTTTATAGTTTCGCTTTTTTACGAATAAAATATTCTATTGAATACAGGAAGAAATATTGTTTAGGTATATTATTAAAACTTTTTTTTTTAAATAATAATAAGCAGCTGTTTAATATCAACATTATAAATCCAACGAGAACAAAAACTTCTGTTACATAACATGTAGCTTATATATATAGAAACCTATCTACGCGATTTCATAAAGATATAGTCCACATATTTTTCAATATGTATTATATTCTATATTTCGTGCTTATGTATTCAATCGTTTACTGTAATCCGGGATGTAGAATCATTCGTAAATGCAAAGTAAGAGAAACTGAAACTAATGAAGAATGTAGTAACATAGCAACTTTGGTGGATGAACTTTTTCATGCATTCTTTGGAGCCAAAGGATCTATAGAAGATGGATTTTTTGAAGCTGTACTGAATATTTTGGATGCTGCTAAGAAAGCCGGTTTGAAAATTGCAAAGACTGTGATCTAATAGTTATGATCAAGCGAACACGTTCATGAAAAAAGAGAAAAAAAAAACTGTCTGTATTACTGTATTTTCTTTTAGTTTCAATAAATTTATAAACATATACTATTGTTCTTTTACAAGCCCACTCCTACCTTTTTAATATATTTTTTAAAACTGTCTTAATAGAGACCTCCTGTTGTGGTGTTGTATTTTTACTATTGATAAATTGGGAACCACCGGTAACTGAGAGGATAAGCCCAGTGGGATTCTAATAGAAACAATACGGAAATACAATAATTATTGATAGTTATATGTTTTATAAACAGTAAAATTTTGCATAAGTTTCTTTTAATTATCTGATTTATATATTTAATCGACATTTACAAAGTAATTGTTTTTCTGATGTGTTAAAATATATACTGTAAATCAGAATAGAGACCATTCAAGTATTACGTTAGCTGTTTATGTGAGAGGAGGATTAGTTTGTATCTGACGATATAATAAATAAATATTAATGACAAGATATTAAATATATTATTCAGTCAAATTTAACTTTTTTCAACCTTGACCCAAATACAGTAGCAACTCATTTCCTATTATGTACAGTACATACAGTACAGTATAAAAGGAGATTTTTTTATTATTATTTTATTCTTGATTTAAAGTTATAGATCATTGTAAAAATTGTATTACTAGAAAACTGCATTTTTTCCAATAAAAACCATTAATCGGATGACTTTTTATTTGTTATTAGCGTTTTTATTTAAAGAAATCGCCGCCATGATGGTAAACTTGAGAAGTAGTAAGAGGGTGATAGAGTTTGTTACAGACTTAAAATGGTTCGAGTGTAATTGTTTTGAAATTGTTATTTAATTAAAAAGGGAAGTTTAAAATGTATTACAATGTAAAACATAACATCAAAACTCCTTATCAAATGGCCTTCTCTATTTTGTTTCATTAAATAAATTACATTAGAAATACAATTAAAGCTTAAGGGTTGCGTGCAATGATATAGTTATAAAATTTTATATTCCTGCATACGAATTAAATAAATAAAATTTTACTTGAAACAGTTTTGAATATGAAATTTATTTATCGTCGTAAAATATTACAGAGTTTTATAAAAATAAACTAAATATTCGAATATGGATATTTATTCTCATATAAAAATTATGAAAATTGAGACGTTTCTTCTCTGTTAGGATTATTATTATTCAATAACACTGCTATTAAAGGGCACGGGAAAATCAGGATTGCAGCTCTGAAAAAATAAAGCAATAAATCATTTAATATTCTGTATTTATATTTAAAATAAATATACAATAAAACACTCTTACCCTCACAAGTCCTACCAAAATACAACTAATAAACTGCTTCACCTAGATGAGAAAATCAAATTTATTTTAATATAATAAATATTAAAATAAAGTTTTAATGATGAGTTACATAGATTGCATCAGTTTTGGGCAAAGCCAATCCATTGGCTGAGGATTACCGAAAAAGTTAAGGATTTAATCTACCGCTCTGGGAACCCAGAGTCTTGACAAGCAAGTCTAAAATCTTTTCATGGACATTCTCTAGCGGATATGTTGGAAATATCTCTTTTTCCACCCCGTTTTCTCCATTGTGGACTATTGAATCCATAAATCCATAATGGATTTACAATTCTCAGTCGCCGGAGTGTGGAACAAGCATTTTTCGACCCATCTGGAGTCGATCCCGGGTTCCCAGAGCGTTAGGATGCCATCTTGACCGCTCGACCATCCGGCTGCCATTTATTGGAGGATGACTGTATTTGGGGAGAGTTTTATCAAGGTTTGACTGTAGTTGTCTCCTGTAATAAAATATTGGATTGAGTGAGACAATTAAACATTTAAACGAACTGCCAAAAGGAAATCCTTCCCGGGAGAATTTTTTTTAACTCTTTCCGCCCTGTGGGCACTAAGAGGGTCTCTTTTTAGCAAGTGCATTATGGGTTCGGCCAGGTCTATAATGGGGCAGCCGGGTGGTGAGGGACGGGGTCAGACATATCCGGACGGACCACCCGAAAAATTCGTAGGAATATGTCGACTCGTTCGGATTCGAACCTGGTCTCTCACAGCGGCAGGCTGCCACCTTGACCGCCCGGCCATCAATCCCGGGAGGATTTTTACACAAAAATCTTGCCCCTATTCAGGCGTTTCATATGTAAAAAATTCCATGAGGCGGGAACACGCAATCAACTACCACTGTTCAATGATTATATCCACTCAGCCATTGATGGGCACCCTCTAATAAAGAATTTATAATATTTATTTTAACGATCACGTTACAGATTTAAATAATTTACATAAAAATAAAACTAAAATGCTATCATAATAAAAAATAAATAAATAAAGTTGAATCACCTTAACGATCGATTCGCATTCTGATGATACTTTTCCATATTTAGTATCTTCTATATCACCAATTGTTAATTTGTAACTTTCCATGTCGACGTCACCATTTTCTGTTAACTATTGAATAATTAAATTTTTTTAAATACATTTTTTATTCAATAGATATACAGTCGAACCTCAGAACAACGGCCAGAACATAAAAGAAAAAACGACTGTTCTTTGGAGGTTATTCCTTATGCATTTTTTGTCCATTGCTGAAAAAATAGCCGCTGTTTAGAGGCAGGCCGTTATTGGAGGTTCGACTGATAAAAAAAAAATAAATAAATTCGGTTTAAAATTACCAATTTTTTTGTCTTCATGACACACATGAGTGCCTGAAAAGAAGAAAAAAGTCACATTGTTAAGATTAGATAATGCTTGATTGACGTCTGCTACCATCTGGTGAATGAATACTCGTAAGTTTATAAATACAGTTTTGTTAAATTGCCAACTATGACGTCAAAAATAAACAATTAAATTAACCTCTCTTATTTTCAGTCCGTATCGACCTCTGGCTTTTTCGTAGCATTGTTCGTAGTCGGTCTTGATCTAAAATTAACAGTACATTTAAAAGAAAATTAGTTAACTGAATGTATAACTGAAGCATTAGACCAGTTTTATATATATATATATATATCGATTTAAAATTACTGTATGATTAAAACAGACCCCTTTTTGCTCCGTGGGTACTAAGGGGTCTATTTTAATCATACTCATCGTCGGTTCGGCCAGGCTCACAATGGAACGTGGACCCGACACGGAACAATGGACGGGCCCGACAATTCCAGATATATCGGGGCCGACAATGGACGGGCCCGATATATCCGGAATGGACCTGAAAAATCCCCGAAGAGTTACTCGTCAGGATTCAATCCCAGATCCCCAGAGCGGTATGCTGACGCCTTTACGCGATAAATTTTAATTAATAGAGAGGTTGAGGCCGAAGTTTTCATCTTTAAAACGTAAACGTCGAACGTCGAGCGCCGATAGCGGCGC